CCCAAAGCGTCGAGGAGGACCCCTGCAATACCCGGCAGGCGACCCTGCAATACCCTGCAAAACGGCCTTGCAGTGCCCTGCGATACCCTTCAACACCCTCTCCCTACCCTGTCCCCAAGATACCGCCAACCCCCCTGCAGTGCCCTGCAAAGACTCCCCCCCTGCAAAGCCAATCCCACCAGCCCTCGTGGCGTAGGTGGTTTAGATCGTTTCCTCTTCCACCGCTCCCTCTTTCCCTTCGGGGAGGGGTCCATCCCTCCCCCTTACCCACTCCCCTGGACCTGGACGGGGGTGGTCGCGGGTAGGTGGAGCGTCCAACATGACCCAAGATGGCTCCAAGAAGGCCTCAGAGAGCCCAAGATGACCTCCAACATTGCCCAAAAGTATCCCAGGATGCATCAGGATGGCTCCCAAGATGCTCCAAGAGGCAAGACGATTCCGAGCGGCCACGGAGCCTCCCCAGGAGGCCGCCAAGAAGCCAAACTTATTCAAAAACCTACGCAACGTCAATGACTTCTCGCCGCTTCGCTTCCGATGGCCTTCCGAGGCCTCCTCCAGACAGCTCCAAGAGGGCCCATGAAGGCCCGAAAAGAGGCCCCAGAGAACTCCAAAACGGCCCCAAAAGCATTCAAAAGCGCTCCAAGAGGGGCCCAAGAGGTGACTTGGGAGCTCCCGAGGGGGGAGGCTGATTAAGGAACCCCCCCTTCCAGGATGGCCCCAAGAGGCGCCCAGGAGGCCCCAAGAGGCCCCAAGATGGCCCCAAGGTGGCTCCAAGATGGCCCCAAGAGGCACCCAGGAGGCCCCCAAGAGGACCCCAAGCGGCTCCAAGAGGCCCCCTCCGAGGCACCCAAGACGCCCAAGAGCCCCCAGGACCGCCGAGAGACCTCCAAGACGTCCCAAGAGGCCTCCAAGAATCGCCCAAGAGATATCCCATCCCGAGAGGCTCCGAGAGGCAACCAAGAGAACCCTGGCCCTTTTGATTGCCCTGGTCCTCATGCTCCTCCTTCGCCCTCCTACTCATTATCTTCCTCCTCCTCCTCCTCCTCCTCCTCCTCCTCCTCCTCATCATCATCATCAGCAGCATTATCAGCATCATCGTCATATAGTCTTCCTTCTCCCCACTCCCTCATCCATCCATCCAACCTCCTTCTTCTCCCCCTCCCTCCTTCGCACGATTTGGCTGTCCATCTCGTTGCTCCCGCACTTCCCTGATCACCTCAAGTTGCCTGGACATCGTTTCTCGATGGGCTGGTGGGGATACGCGAAGCATCCAGAATTCGAGATGACTTCGGGGCCGAGTGGACCCAGGGACACGTTGATCTTTCGGATGATGCTATCAAAGGGAGGTCTGCCCTCCAGGCTACGCTTCGGAGGGAGTTGTGGCATGAGCTCGCCACCTTCGAAGGTGTGCGCAGTGTTGCCCTCCACTGGGCATTGACACAAATGTTTGACACTGTTGTGCCAGCTAGGCTTGTCAGGCTTGCCTGTGTGCTGCATTTCCCGCCGCGCGTGCTCTACCTCGGTGTCGAGGTGCACGTTGCCCCCAGGTTGTTTGAAAGTAGTGACTTCTGTTCCCAGGTCATGCCCGCTGATATTGGTGTCCTACCAGGTTGCATGCAGTCTACGCCTTGGCTTTATATATAGATCTCTATATGTATACATAAAGTATAGATACACACCATATTCTCTTCGATGTCCACAATCCGTATTCCCTTGGGATCCCCAGTGTCAGTACTCGTTCATATGTTGACCATGTATCGCCAGTATGTCAAGCGGCAGAAAAACAGGTTCGACGGTAGATTGTCTCGGCGGCTGTTCAATCCGGGCACTCCATTGAGAGTGGCGAGCTTGTCCTCTCCGATAATTCTGCTGAAGTTGCTAAAAGACCTGCTACCACTGCAGGCAAACGTAGGTCGATTGCCATAGTTCGAGCTCGTCGTCGCAAGGCCTCTGTTCGTGCTAAGAAGGTCCAGTACCTCACCAAGCGTGTGACGCAAGCTTCCATGCTCTACAAGCCAGATATACTTGCCGTAGGCACGTGGGGACATACTGCCGCGGAGCTCTCTGGGGCCCAAATTCAGAGCGCCCGAGGCCAAGCTGATATTTTTTCTGGGCATTCGCATGCGGGAGCGCGTACCTCCACTGTCTTGGGCGGCTTGGGCTCTGGGAGCTATGACCCCACCTACCAACTTCGGCGAGAACACCTCCAAGGTTTTGTTGATGTCCGGAAGACCCTTCCTGAAGAAAAGCAGCGTGTTTCTAAGCGCTCCATCCCCAGGCGTGAGGCGTGGAAGCGAGTTCGAGGCCCTGTTGCGGCTACTGCGGCCGCCATCCTTGATCTTGGTTGGCAACCCAGGATCCCCATTCGCTGGCAGGATGAACATGGATGTGACATCTGCACCGCCGCTCCTGATGTCTCGCTGACCGTTCGGCGCCAGCTGAAGGCAACCTGTGATGATCTGGTTCGGCGCCAGGCTGCTAAGCACTACCATGGGCATGGAATCGAGTCCGGCGTTGCTTTCACTGTTATGCGGGACGACCTGTCCAAGCTCGGGAAGGACCCTGATCTTCATGGGCAGGCCCTCCTCAGAAATCTGGTCCTGCGGGGTTCTGGACTGATCAATGTTTCCATGATGGAGGATACAGTGGGGGCCCGACCACAAGAAACCTTCCGCGAGAAACCCAACCCTGGACCCCCAGGACGTGTATCGATCTTTGCTGTGGGAACGTTACGCTTGCCATCGCTGCACCATCGAATCCCAAGAAACCTGAGGGCACCCTGGAGGCAAGCGGGGTGTTTCTTGGCATGGGCCTCCACTGTACGTCACGCGTTCCCAAGGCCTGTGCCCTCGGTGTGGTGACGCTCCCCAGGCTCCCGGCCCTGCAGGGCCCGTGTCCATCGTTTCCGGTCCTGCAGGGCTGACGGTCCCATCCCCGAGCGTGCAGCTCGAGAAGGCCGCGCAGCTGCCCCAGGCGCCGCGGCCCCCTGCCTGGAGGATCTGCCGGCTGGGCACCGTCACGGGGCCCGTGAGACGAAGTGCGGATGGGGGTGATGCTGCCGCCATCGCACTTCGGGACCACATCCCAGAAAGAAGCTTCGAGCACCCCGAGAAGTATCGAGACAGCGTCGAGCGAGTATCGCCTCCCAGGGCCCGACACGTGGAAGCCCTCCGGTTTCGGCCCTTTCTTGGTGCTCGAGATTCCTTCTGGCGATCAAGGCTAAAGTAGCTTGGAACATCATGAGGATGGGGATCGTGCGACGATCTTGCCGTCCGCGAGGGCGGGGCCTGGGGCATCGACGACTCCGGTGGGAGAGGGTAAGAAGCCAAGACTAAGGCGATGTGACCGGGCATGTGTTATGATGGGCCCATAATCCTCCGCCACCACGACCTTAGTTTGGAGAGGAAGGAGGAGGAGGAGAAGAAGGAGGAGGACCTCCTCATTCCCTCTCCTCCCCCGTCCTACATCTGGTAGTGGTGGTGGAAAGATGGGCCCATCAGGTTAGGCTAGGTATCCACCCCAATGATGTTGATTGGGGACTTGCTGGTTGTCTTGGAGGCCCTGACCAGTCGAGACCCCGTGCTGACCTCCTGGCCCAAACGATGGTGTCAGAGCAAACTACTGTGAGGATCTTGGTGTTCGGTTCAGTGATTACGATACTATTGTTCGGGGTTTAGGCGCCCCAGAGCATCTCATGAAAATTATGATACCCTGGACCTTTGGGTTCGTCTCTGGGATGTCCAGGACCGCAGGGTTAGCGATGATGATCTGCGATGGACCATGAGCCACCCCACGGGCTCCCAGGTCAGCGCCCTACACCTCACGTCGATCGAACGGCTCCCGAATGGAGCTGCCGATGCGTGAGCTGGGGAAGCGGCTCGTGGAGCGGCCGCCCCCAAGCATTTGAAGGCCATCGCTTCGGAAGAGGATACGTAAGTTGGGTCAAAACAGTGTGTGTAGGCTTCTAGCCATGCAGCGTGACGTTGTCGTGCGGTATTATTAACAAGGCGCTGGTGTGCGCATGCGTGCTGGTCATGAGCATGCGCGAGCGCATTGGTGCGAGCAGTGCGCAAACTCGTCGTGAGCGTCAGTCGGAGCAGGGTCACTCGGTTGTGTAACTTCAGACCCTGTTTAAATGTAGCATGAGTTCGGCCAAGTTCTGCAAAAACGGCGGTCTGTCCGCATTCTGGCCGTGACCCTGCAATGCAGGGCGCTTCTCTCCTTTGTGCGCGCCGATGCAGAAGGAGTATCGAGGTTCCCTGGACTCTGGGTCTGTTTCTGGGCCTACGGCCCATCCGATGGCCGCCCAGTGCCACGGGACCTACAGGGCAGTTTCTAACACATAGGATGTTTAAACTATTGGCTTGTTAATACTTGGTTATTTGTTTAATGAATGTATACATGAACTTATCGTTGTTTTAATACTGAACCCTGCATTTGTAATGCATGATCCGCACGCGGAGCATGTAAAAACGGCACTGTACTCCCTGTCTGAAAGCAACGGCGTGCTGTGTTGCACAACATGTGGCAACGTTTGTGTCAGTGGCGCGAGGAAAAGCTACAGGTCGAGCGTCCATCGCCGACCAAGGAAGGTTTGGAGGCGTAGGCCCGACCGGAACGAGATCTCCCGCCAGAGTCGGGAATGACTTCCCCTCGGTGATGCGGCGATGGGCGGCCAGGATTGCAACTGGGAGCCGCGTTCACGCCATAGCGCCATAGCTCCTCCTCCTCCTCCTCCTCCTCCTCCTCCAACTCCTCCTCCTCCTCCTCCTCCTCCTCCTCCTTCTCCTCCTCCTCCTCCCGCCTCTTCCTCCTCCTCCTCCTCCTCCTCCTCCCGCCTCCTCCTCCTCCTCCTCCTCCCGCCTCCTCCTCCTCCTCCTCCTCCTCCTCCCTCCCTTCCCCCCGAAACAACCAGCAACCAAACCCCCGCATCCTTCCACACGGGGGGGGCGCCCCCCGAGGTCGGCGCCCGCAGCAGGCGCGAGAGCGGCGTGGGCCGCCTCGTCCTCCTCGTGCGAGTCCTCCTGCGGGTTCATCCCGCCCGTGGGCCAGCGCTGGTCCCTGGCCGAGATGCCATCGGGGGCCCCTCCTGGGATGGGGGGGGGGCGCCGGCTCTCTCCGCCTGGAGTATCTCGACTCCTGCTCTATCTCCCCTCCTCCCCCTTCTCCTCCTCCTCCTCCTCCTCCTCTCCTCCTCCTCCTCCTCCTCCTCCTCCGGATTCATCCCCTCCCTCCCTCCCTCCCTCCCTCCCTCTTCTGCTCCTCCTCCTCCCCCTCCTCCTCCTCACCCCTCCACGTCTTCCACCTCCTCTTCCTCCTTCATCTCCAACAACTCCTGCAACGCCCCCTCCTCCGACTCAGTCCTCCCCTTTTCTCAATATCCTGCTCATCGTGTTCCTCCTCCTTCGTCTCCTGACCTTGTTCCGTCTTGATGTGTGTTGTAAACCCCCCAGTCTGCAAACGAGCCGCCCGAGGGTGATGTCATCCAGGGAAGTCCACCCTGACCATCAAAAACAATACGATGATGACGCATTCCGCCTTCCCTTTTCAACATGGACGTGTTCGCGTCGACGTCGCAAGCTGTGTGGCAAGAGCGACAGGCATGATTCACACCGCGCATGAAAGAGACGACATGCCGTCCTCGCCCCAAAGACCACGCTCGCTTGTCCCACAGAACTTGAATACCGTGTGAGCGGGCACACGTTCTCTCGCTCGCCAGCTGACCGACATCAGGGTCGCGCGCGGTCGCGGGAGACATGTTAGGGGGCCACATGCAAACCCTACCCCTTCCCTCCCGAGCGAAGTGAACCCCACCCTCGCCCTCAGAAATCGTGGGGGGTAGGGGTAGGGTTCGCATGTGGCCCCCTAACATGTCCGCCGCTCAGATCTCGCCCGCAAGTGGTGCTCCCCACTGGGGGCGGCGAACACGTTTCCCTCGCTGAGTCGTGGGAGGCGGGGCCGCGCGCGCGCGGACGACTTGACGCCCTGGCCCGGGCCCCTGGCCCGGGCCCCTGCCACTCTCGTTCGTGAGTGGCGCTGCCGCTCGGGCGGGGCGCATCTCTTCGGTCGTCGGATCGCAAGGTGGAATGACTCGGCTGTGGAGCAATAGCTGCACTGTTCTCCTCCTCGGATTCGTATCACCACGCCGGCCGTGTATTCTCCACGCGCGGGAGACCGAGGACCGAGGACGAGGAAGCCTTGGTGAAGGTCGGTGCTAGGTCAGGCGCGGCTGTCCAACTTCGCGCTTCTGTAGCCGACTGGCGACTGGACGGCATAGTCGCTCGTCTATTGCAGACTGTCGTTGGCGATGCTGTTCGCAAAGCAGCCTGCCTTCGCTTCTGTCTTCAAACGTCGAGTTGCGCGCTGTGTTGTCGAAAAAGCACAACGTTCGCGCGCGGCCTTGCGATGCGGTGCTCGCGGCGCTCGTCCGGGCGCGCGCGCGCGCGCGTCCGATCTGAAGGTCAGGGGGAGGTGTGCACACTGATCTCGCTACGCGCGGCTGAAATCCCTGTACACCTGCCTCCCTCCCTCCACCTCCTATTCCTCCTCCCTCCCTCCCTCCCTCCCTCCCTCCCTCCCTCCCTCCCTCCTCCCTCCCCAGCCACCTCCTCCCTCCCTCGCTCCCTCCACCCTGCTCCCCGCTTCCATCCCTTCTCTACATCCTCCTCCGTCTCGCTTCGCAGCAACTGCGGCTCGCTAGAGCGACAGTCGGAGCAGCGGGGGTCACTGGCCACTGATGCAACAAACTCGGATCCTCATTCCCCCTCCTGCAGACCTGCCCCTCCT